TTAGTGCCAGGTCTGGTGAGTATGGAGGGCGAGGAAGCTCTTCGAAACCACATTGTCGCAGAGCAGTGAGAAGAGGCATTATCATGAAAAAGGAGAACTCCAGCAGTCAGCATTCCTCACCGCTTTTCTTTGATAAAATATCTCAGGTGATAAAGTACATCAGCATAGTAGGCACCGCTAATCGTCTTTTGACTTTCTTACTAATGAACAAGGATCACACCCTTTGCATCCCAGAATACAGTGACCATAACTTTCTTCATTGATCTTGACTTGTATTTCGTTGGTGCCTGAGAAGGGAATGGTGCCATTCCATGGTTTGACGTTTTGACTCGGGATAAGAGTGGTGGACCCATGTTTTATCACCCGATACTAATCTCTTTTTGAATTTGACGAAATTCTACTCAATTATCTCTAACATTCCTCGGCAATGTCAGTTTTTGTTCCCTTAAGATCAGAATTTAGAAACGTTGGCACCGAACGAGCAGATATCTTAATAATCTGTTAATGTTCATGAATAATAGTTTCAATGGATCCATGCCTTAGGCCTGTGTTTTTTTCATGTTCAGCAATGGTAATACGGCTATCTCCTTGATTGAATCTTCTTTGATGGAAGTTGAGGAACGTCTTGACCTAGAGTCATCAGCAAGGCTTGTTCTCTATGCAATGTTTTATTGTACGACAAACAACTCCCACTCGTCATAACATATACTTACGTGTTTAAAATCGGATCAGAATTATGTATGCACTCATTAAACACCATAGCTAAGGACCCGTGAAGACGCCGGGGTAGAATAGGTCTGCAACCACCCATACTTGCCGTAAAAGGTGACTATGCTTGTCGTAAAAGGCGACTAACGGGATCGGGTGGCCAGGATATTAATCACTGGATTGTCTGGCCCAGACTCAAATATTTAGAGACCGCCGTCATATAGCTGGAATATTGCTGAGTGCGGCGTTAAACAACAAACAAACAAACCATAGCTTAGTTCATACATATAAAGTGGACTAAAAGGGAAAGGTGTTTTATTGCAGGTGTTTTATTGCCTGTGAATCATGTGAGTGAGTGAGTGAGTTGGGTTTAACGCAGCTTTAACAGTATTCCAGTTATATCACGGCGTGTCAGCTTAATGTGAAAGGTGATGCAGGTCTTAGACTTTAACCACTTCGGTGAAACCCACGAGCAAGGGTATGGTGCTGACAAACCTAGAAACATAATCGGGGCGAACCTGGATTCGAACCCACAATCGTAGGTTTCTGGTGTGCCAAAGGGACGCAACTCTGCACAGCGAATTGCGGCGCCATAGACGACTGACCCGTGCCCACCACGAACCCTTAGAGGATCATGTTCAGTTTTCGATCTCTGTCACGAAATCCATGAATAATTTTCCTTCAAGAAATGAATTAATTCGACAAATGGTCAAGTCATAAAAAGAAACATAACAAGAACACGTACCACTAAAAACCTTTATTTTTGTTTGCATAGAACAACTACAACAAACTTTAAGAATGCCCTTGTTTCCAACAATAACAACAGTCTTAAGTGGATTGGATTAAAGCAGTGATTGTGAGTGATGCCAGTATTTCAGTTAAAGCAAGGCAGGTCCGGTTGATGGACGAAAGGCTTAAGTGATTGAAGTTGATGGTTGATTATCAAGGTTGCACCTAGGATTCTAACCCACTACCATAGCTATCTGGAACGTCTCTGGAACGTTTTCTGTAAACCCCTTATAGACCTGTGACACACATAAAGCAAATCACATATGAAAGGATGGGTGAGTGAGGTACTGTGTTTTCGCCGTACCCTGGAAATATTCTGGCTATAATAATGGCTGCCTGTAAATAGTTGCATCTGGGTGGGGAAAACAGTGGATGGCAATACACGCCATCGGGGTACGTTGACAGCCAGGTGACTCTTTGTAACCACACGGACCTCATATCAACCGGAGACCCGTGAAGATTCCGGGGTAGAATAGGTCTTCAGCAACCCATGCTTGTCGTAAAAGGCGACTAACGGGATCGGGTGGTCAGGCTCGCTGACTTGGTTGAGACATGTCATCGATCCCAATTGCGTGGATCGATGCTCATGATAGCAATCACTG